GCTTTGTGATGTCTGGATTTTGGTCGTTTAGAAGGGTTGTGATGTTGAAGGATAGGTTATTTCGGAAACAATAGTTTTACAGCTCTTGTCGCTGTTGGTTGTAGTTTTGGCATTCGATTAATATATGTTTAACCGTGATTAGCGAGTTACAGGTTGAGCAGTTTGGGGGATCTGTTTTAAGAAGGAGGTAGGAATGAGTGAGATATGAATGTCCTAGCCGGAGGCGGGCTAAACACATTTCCTGTAACTTCGAATTCTGATTTTTAGTTTTTACTGCTATTTCTGGTTGAATTTTTCTCAAGAAACACTTGGACTTATCCCATTCTAATTGACATTTTATGTTTAGTTTATTTTTGAGAAGGGAAAGGAAGTCTTGAGATGAGTAGGGGATTTTGCCAATATTGGTTTGATTTAAGGCATCTTTAGCGAGTTCGTCAGCCTTCTCATTTAGATGAATGCCGGTGTGGGAGGGGATCCATACTAATTTTGGGGGGCATACGATTTGGCTTTGTAATTTGATAATTTCTTTGATAAGGGGATGACTGTTTAAATGTTTTTCGTGAATAGAAGTAATAGCCGAAAGGGAGTCTGACAGAATCATAGATTTAGAGATGTTTTTTAGTTTTATTTGGGCATAGGCCGCCAGGATGGCGTACAGCTCTGCGGAGAAAATGGACGCCCATCCTGGCAGCCTTGTTTTGAGAATCGTGGTTTGCTCCTGTTTAAACCGACTCACCACCGCTGCCGCTGTTTTGTTTTCCTGTGTGTTCTTTGATCCGTCAGTATAGAAGAAAGTGTATTCTAGATGTTCGGAGATAATTTGGTGGTGAAGTGCCTGAATTTCGATGTTGGTGTACATATGTTTTGGTTGGTCGATGAGAAGGATAACTTGCGGGCTTTTGGATGCCCACCACGCCACCGGTGTGTTCGTGTGTGGTGGTGAGTGTAGTGTTATGTTGACTGTGTCTGTTAGTGTAGTGATTCTGCTGCCGTATGATGTTTTCTGGTGTATGTTGTTTGTGTATCTACGGTGTGATCTGTATTTTATATATGGGATGCAGGGGTGATTATTTGTTTTTTGAATTTTGTGGAAGTATCTGAGTAGTGATTCGGTACGTCTATCGGTGAGAGTTGAAATGTTGTTGTAAATATGGAGGGATTGAGTTGGGGTGGTTCGATAGGCGGATGTGATAATTCGTAGGCATGTGTTTTGGATAACGTCTAATTTCTGCAAGTGTGTTTTAGCTATATTTTCAAATATGATAGATGCGTACTCGAGGATCGGCCTAATGATGGATTTATAAATGTTAAGTAAGGTTTTTCGGTCGCCGCCAAAATCTGTACCAGAGAGTGCTTTGAGAATATTGATCCGTTTTCTTGCTCTAGTTGAAATTTGTTCAATGTGTGATCTGAAAGTGAGTCCTCGATCTAATATGATTCCTAAAAATTTTGCGTCGTTTCGAATTTCGATATTGCTATTGTCAATTTGGAGGGGCAATGGATTAATTGGTTTTTTGCTGCCAAATATTACGCATTGAGTTTTTTCGGGTGATATATGGAGATTAAGAGGTCGGAGGTTGTTCTGTACAGTTTTTAGGGCTCGGTCTAGGTTGTTAAGTGCTGTGTTGGAACTTTGATGTGAGGACCAGATAGCTATGTCGTCGGCGTATATTGCGATTTTGGATGGGGCAGGAACGGATTTGACAGTAATGTTTAAGGCCAGGATAAAGAGGAGAGGGCTGAGAACGGAGCCTTGCATGAGTCCGGAAGTTGGAGTTTTGGGATCGGATATATGGTTGAGGAATTTAACTTGGAAGGATCTCTTTGTTAGGTATGTATTAAGATAATGAAGAAGGTGTCCGTTGATTTTGTTTTTGAGGTAGTCAAGGAGAGGCTGGATATTAAGGGTATCATAGGCATTTTTTAGGTCAAGAAAGAGTGCTGCTGTATATTGTTTGGAGTGGAAGGCATTTCTGATATCGGCTGTTATTTTGACTAAATTATCGAAAGTTGATCTGCCGGGTAGAAAACCACACTAATTTGGGGTTATGAGGTTTTGTTTTTCAATAATATATAGGAGTCTGTTTTTAATAATCCGTTCAAAAATTTTGTGAATGGTGTTTGTAAGGGAGATAGGTCGGTAGCTACTTAGTTTGGTGGGGTCTTTGTTTGGTTTGTTTATAGGAATGATATGGGCGTGAAACCAGTTTTCAGGATAGGAGTGCGAGGAAAAGGCGTAGTTTAATGAGTAGAGGAGAGCTAATTTAGCGGTTTGTCCCAGGTTCTTAAATAGGTGGTAGTGAATTTGATCTGGGCCAGGACATGAGTTTCCGGTTCTGTTGATGGCGTTATCTAATTCGTATAAAGTAAATGGGAGGTTATAAACTTCGGTGGTGGTTTCTTCTGGGATAATTAAGGGTAATGGAGGGGGGATGCTCGAGGATATTGATCTATAAAAATTTGAAAATTGTTCTGAAATTTCTTGTGGGATTGTAAATGTGTTGTTATTATGGATAATGTATGTCGCTTTTTGTGTTGAGGTTTTCAGCCCTTTAACCCGCGCCCCAGTGGCGGTCTCAGCCAACTTCGCCCTAGTGGGGGGGGGGGGGGGGCATATGTTACCACCCACCTCTAACTCAAAAACTAAAAGGGATAGAAAGACGCGGTAAAAAGCAGTCGATAGCTCTCAATGCGTACGTTTGAAAGTATTTCAGTCAATTTTCACCTTAGAGCAATATTGGGGTCACCAGAGGTCATCAAAGGTCAAAATTTGCCAATTGTCATTATATTTTTCAGAAAACATGCCGCTATCTCAGGAACTATGGTAGCTAGAAAAACGCATGGAACAGCAAACGATAGCTTTTGAGCTCTTCTTTTGAAAAGGTCATTATCAATATTGACCTCAGGTCAACGGTTTAGCCTCCAGAGGGCAAAAACTCCAAAAATAGCTGTTTTTACGGAAAGTGTTTTTCGACAATAACTTTTGACTACAAAAAGCCACGGCATTTCTATTGCCAGAATCGTGTTCCCCTCGCCGAGACGCGTCGAATGAACTATAATTTGACCTTGAAAGGTCAACTTGAAAATTTGACCTCAGGTCAAGGTCATGACCTGACCGGAAAAGGTCATGTTGCATATCAGTCGATGCGTCTCAACAAGACAAACACAATGAGACCATCCCCAGCGTTCTATCTCTTTCCAATCGCGAGTTATTGGCAAAAAACTGTTTGTAGCCTCAAGTGACCTCGGATGACCTGTCTAGAGGCTATCAGCAAAAATGACACCTTGGTCATCACGAGTGGACTAAATCATTGTGATTCTGAAATATTTGGACTGTTCCTATGCGTACACACGGATCTAGAGGCATTTTCATTTTTCTCCATTGCCTTATAATGGTAAGGTCACGCCACTGACCTGACCTTAGGTCACCGATATAAAAAATCTGAGATATACAAATTGTAGGCGCCTATAACATCATGCAATCCACCAAGTTTGAAACCTTTCTGACAAACACTGCAGGCTGGACATGATTGCAAACTTTTTTTTAGGCTTGGTCAGTTAACTTGACCTGGTGACCTGACCTGACATGACCTGGGGTCAAAAATTTAACACATTGTCCAAAATTGATGTACAAAAAGCTACCCCAAGCGGCGCGGCGCTACGCGCCGCGCTTTTTTATTTACACGCGAAAAACGCGACAGGGTGGTAACATATGCCCCCCCCACTGGGGCGAAGGTTAAATGCTTTAAGTATGCCCCAAATTTTAGAGAGAGGAGTGAATCTGTTAAAGGAGTTTGCGAGCTCTTCGAAAGATGTTCTTTTGGCTTGTTTGATTACTTTTCTACATCTTGCTTTTGCTTTTTTGTAATTAATAAAGTCTTCTTCAGAGCGAGATTTTTCATATCTGTGTCTAGCCGTGTTCCTGAACGTTATAGCTCGTTGGCAATCGTAGTTCCACCATGGTACAGATTTTGGTTTGGCATTGTTGTTTGGTTTTGTTTGTGGTATGTGTAGTTTTGCTGTTTCTGTAATACTTTCAATGAATTGTTCGGGAGTGGGTTGTCTTTCAATCACGTTTTCTAGGGTGTTTGTAAAGGAATACCAGTCTGCTTTTTTAAGGTTAAATCGTGTGTAAGAACGGTGTTGTGTGGTAGTGTGTCCTAGTGTGATATGGATTGGTAAGTGGTCGCTGAAGTAAGGGTCTGGTGAAGTTTCCCATGTTGTTGAAAGTGCGAGTGTTGATGAGGTGGCTGTGATATCTGGTGTGGTGTCAGAGTGTGTTGTGGTTCTTGCAGGGAGTGTAGGGGAGCCGTCATTGTTGATGACTAGCTGAAGGTTATCTACGAGTTCTAACAGAATTTTGCCTTTGGAGTCCGGAAGTCTTCTACTTCTATCCCATAGTGGGTGGTGGGCGTTAAAGTCTCCACATAAAATAAAAGGGGATGTCAGAGAAGTTACTAGGTTTTCTAAGTCTTGGATAAATTCTGAAAAGTTAATGTCCGGCGGGGCGTAAGTGTTTATAACGGTTAGAAAATTTTGATTGGTGCTGATTTCGAATGCTTGGATGTCAAAAGTTGTAGTGATTTGGATTTCTCGGAAGGCTATATTATTTTTAATGTATGTGCATACACCTCCCCTTCTTTTGAGAGGTTGAAAAAGTGCATCTTTTCGAATGAGAGAATAGGTTGCAATTTCGAAATTATACGGATCAGATGGTTTTAAATGAGACTCTTGAAGACAAATGACCGATTTTGAAGAAGAAATTAATGCTTGTTTTAGTTCGGACCAATTTTCAGGGACTCCCCTCACATTCCACTGCAAGAGTGTTATATTTTTGTTGTGGGTGGGTGTGCTATGTGTGGTGGAGTGGTGAGGCATTACTGCTGTGTACTGTGTTTACTGTTTGTGTCGGAGTGTGAAGTGAAAGTCGGAGGGTTTTTGTTGTGGGTGGGTGTGCTATGTGTGGTGGAGTGGTGAGGCATTACTGCTGTGTACTGTGTTTACTGTTTGTGTCGGAGTGTGAAGTGAAAGTCGGAGGGAGCCGACTGGAGGCGTGTGCGGCGGGTCTTCGGTGGCGAGGTGGGACTCGTGGAGTTCGAGGTCGAGGCCGACTGGGATGAGTCGTTAGACTCGTCCGAGGACCGAGGTGGTGGTGGCGGTCGGTTCTTGGGCATAGGTTCGGGTTCGGGTTCGGTTCCCACACTGGCGCCCGGCCTGGGAGTCGGTTCCTCAGACGGTGGTGGGTTGGCCGGGCGTCGTCGCGGGTCCCGGTCAGAGACCCCGGGTGGGGTCTGGGCGGCCACCTCAAGCCGCTGCGCGGAGCGGGCAGCACCGCTCTGCACGCTGGCCGGTCGGGGGGAGGGGTTGGGCGGTAGTGAGAGGGAGGAGGTGCAGGGGACCGGCCAGAGGAGGAGTGGGGCTTAGGGGGATGAGGGTACTCCGCCTCAGTCAGCGGAGGAGGGTGGGAGGGTCTGACTGAGGTCGAAGGGGGAGGAACAGGATTGGATGAGGGGTGGGAATCCACGTACGCGCGAGCGTCGCGAGGGTCCCAGCCCCTACGGATGAGGAGGGTGACCTGGGTCTCAGAGATCCAGCGGGGACAGGATGGGTCGTTCGCGGTGTGGGCGCCGCCACAGCCTGCGCACAGAGGATCTTCGGCAGGACACTGGGAGGATTCGTGCCCCGCCTCGGCGCAGTTGGAGCACGTGGGGGAGTCGGATCGGCAGTGCTGCTGGCGGTGTCCATAGCGCTGGCACCGCCGGCAGCGGAGAGGTTTGGGAGGGACTGCACGGACGGGGAAGGATAGGTAGGCGGCCAGGATGTAGGGGGGAGGTTCAGCGGTGGAGAAGGTTAGGATAAGAACTTTTGGAGAGCGGGGCGGGCGATACACGGCGGTAACGCCCACCCGGGAGAAGCCCTCCTCCAGTTCGGACAGGGATAGGTGCTGGAGGGATGGAGCGTAGATGGAGCCCTGGCTTTGGTTCAGGTGGGGCGGAGCCCACACCTTCACCTCAGCACCGGCGATTCGCCGGAGACCGAGCAAAACTCGCTTCTCCGACGCCTCGCAGGCGACGAGGAGGTCGCCCCCTCGCAGCGGCCGGGCACGGAGACAGCGCCCGATCGCCGACGAGAGTGCGTCCCCCACCGCCCAGGGGGAAAGGTCGGAAAGGGGAGAGCCGTCCATACGGCGGATGCGGACAAAGGATGGGACAGGAGTAGAGGAGAATTGGAAGGAGGATGAGGCAGGGTTACGGGACATGGTGGAGGTAGGAAAGTGAGGTGGGTGTGGGAGTGCGTGGGTGTTGAGGGGGTGGTGTTGGGTAGTGGTGGTGTTGTATGAGCGTAAGTGGGTGTTGTCTTGTGTTGTGTTGGTAGTGGTGAGGTGCAACAAAGTGTGACTTACAAACGTGGTTGGTGTCGAGACGAAGGCAGCGAAGGTGGCAAGTCGGTTGAAGAGCGAAACACGACTGACGATCTCGAATTCCTGAATGATGTCTGGAAGTATGAAGCGCACGCCCGGTTTAGTACCACCTTGACGGCGTTTCGGCGTAACCGAAACTCGGCCTCGGTGGCGTCACATGGAGTCAGCTGGCGGTCCACGCGCGCCTGGTCACGCGCAGCCATCGCCTCTCTGACGTCGGCGTCTTGCAACCACGGGTACGGTCTGTGCTTCAGCTTGATTACACGCATCGGCATATGGGCGTCGATAATGGGGCTCCATGTGCTCAGGAAGCAGCTCCACTTGTCAGACGTGGAGTTGGCGCCGTACAGCGGTGACCAGTCTGCTTGGAGCAGGTCCAGACACAGGGCGTCTGTGTTGACGCGCCTGGTGGACCGCACGTTGATGGTGTTCACCACGTGGCGCGTCTTGACGACAGAGACCGTCGCGGCGATGAGGTCGTGGTCGCTGATGTTGCACGACACGACTCGCGCGTTTGAAGTTAGTTCTGGCTTGTTCGTGATGAAGTGGTCTATCAGCGTAGGATTCTGTCCGGGGCGAGTTGGTGCGGTGATGAGCTGTGTCAGCGACAGGTCACTCAGCTGCTGCAGGTATGACGTCACACCCTGCTTCTCCGGCCGAGAGACGTCGATGTTGGTGTCTCCGAGCAAGTAGACTGGCAGGTCACGGCCGAGTACGCTCGTCAGCTGGTTGTGCATGTCATCGAGGGCGGGTGTCATCGGACTCGATGGTGGCCGGTAGACTGCGCCGACGACGATCGGTGACTTGAGTGTGAGCCGCAGCCAGAGACTCTCGAGGGCGGACGATGCAGCCGGGACACGCAGTGTGTCAGCAGTGATGGAGTTGCGGTAGATGATGGCAACGCCACCGCCAGACCGCCCTCCCCGTCTGTCACGCCGGCTGATGACGTAGCCGGGGAATTGTAGCATCCGAGTGTCCACTGCGTCCGTCAGCCACGTCTCAGTGACACAAAGCACGTGGAGTCGCTGGGACAACAGTAGGTGATTCACATCGTCGATATGTGCCATCAGAGAGCGCACGTTGAGGTGTCCCACGCTCAGTGCGGCGCGCTCGGCCGCCACTGCCTGGATCTCGGCCTGTCGGGTCTGCCGGAGCGTCAGGCGCGGCGGCCGAGCGAGACATAGGCCGCCAGCAGCAGTAGCAGCAGCTCCCACTCGCTCCGCGGGGCCGGGCGGCGGTCGCTCGGTGACACGAACACGTATCGGGCGACGAGACTTGCGGCCAGCCCGAACTCCCCGCCGACGTCTCCGCAGCCCGAGCCGACGCAGCAGCGCGACTGTAGCGCCACTCAGTGGAGTGTCGGTGAACCGCCGAAGCTCTAGTAGATACTGGCGTGTGTAGATGACGCCACCAGTAGCGGGGCCGATTCGCAGACGGCCCGACTCGGCCGGCGTGACCAACGCCAGAGCCCCAGCTGACCGAGCATCAGCTGACCGAAAGTTCAAGGTCACTCGCGGCGCCGCACCCCCAGCCGCCGCGTCTGCCGTGTAAACAAAATCCTGGCGAGACATCCCGAGGGAGCGCACCCCGTAGCCGGGTGCAGTGAGTGCTTTGGGGCTGGGTGGCCTGTCCTCTGGACGGGCTCAGCCCCGGCGACTCACTAGGGTGCCTGCCCAGACCAATGTCTCCCCCTATATCCTATCATCCTCCCGGCTCTGAAATGGTCTTAATGGACCGAAAGGGCCTAACCCAACAAAACAATAAAACAATAAAACAATTATCAGACACACCGTAGCGCACCCCGTAGCCGGGTGCAGTGAGTGCCTTGGGGCTGGGTGGCCTGTCCTCTGGACGGGCTCAGCCCCGGCGACTCACTAGGGTGCCTGCCCAGCAGACTTGTAAACGACTCAAATTTTTTTTGAGTCGATTCTTTGTTTGAGTCTGGAAATTTGAATCGATTCATCAAACGACTCATGCTGTTAAATTTAATTGATTCGAATCAACTCATGACTCATCAAGTTCCTCGATAAAATGATTCGAATCAACTCATGACTCGAGCAACTAGCCAACGGAATGATTCGAATCAACTCATGACTCACACATTTTGATGAATCGATTCAAATCAACTCATGACTCACACGACATTTTTATTGAACTTATTTCATTCAACCCATGACTCACTATAGGCATTTGTTGATTAATTGACTCAAAGCTATGATAAAATGAATATGCCGCATACCACAATTGTATTAAGCAACATAGTAGCCTTGACCAAAGATTCAAGCAGCTACCTAGTAGGACTAGGTACAGTGTGTCTAAAAAGAATGTACCGTCGCCACTACGTGGCGCTGGTGTCGCGAGCCGGTAGTTGGCTGAATCCGCACCAGACCACACATTCCCAGGCGCTAGGTGACAGCTGCGCAGCGGCCGGTAGTAGCGTAAGCCCGAACCTTCGTGACACGACCCCGGGGGGGAGGGGGGAGGGAGGGGAGCGGGCGGGGCAGCGCGTGTAGGGAGGGGTGCTCCAGCAAGCTGGCAGTTGTCGCGGCCAAAGGTCAAGGGGTCACACACCAAGCGAACGGACGCTGATGTGGGTTCGTGGGGATCATGAACTTGTGTGTGGTAGGTGCGTCTTGCGATGCACGGGTGATACGCCAGGTCTAAGCCAAAGGATTCAGGGGAGAGCTGAAGAAAACACCTGGTCAACTACGGCGAATAATAGTGCTGAAAAATGGAAAGTATGGGTCAATGCAAGCCTTCATGACTATAAACAACTTTCTGAGGACGCAAAGGCCAGCATTGAATAACGATATCCGGATCGAAATTAGCAATAATTTATAATTAAATGCCGAACTAATAGCGCTGCAAAACCCTCAGAGTAAATTGTCAAGTCGGATTATACCCACTTGAATTAAACTTTCCTAAATAAAATTGTTAATTAACTTTCTAACACTGACGTTCTTTATCATACGATAAGTATGGGGTTAACCAAGATTCAGCATCTTCCGCGTTCAAACAATCACCTGTAAGGCTAGAACATTAATGGCCAGGTAAAAACATGGTAGGGATTTGATTAACCGGATTATAAGTCGATTTTTTTAGTCGGGATTTGATAAGTCAGATTTTTTTACGCCAACCGCATTTTTAAGTCAAGTCAGGTCACTGATCTATGATGTCATAAATGCGCAGTCCTAAAATGAACTGTGTGAAACTGTCCTAAACTGTCCTCAACATTTTAGGACTGTGTGCACACTCCTAAAATGTTCAACTTCGCTACACCCTCAGTGCAGAGCTTTCATAGGGAGATGAAACTTACAGGATCTTATAGTATGATCGAGAGTCTCACAACTTGTATAAATGTAGGTATATCTCGGATTTTCTGAAGGGTCGCCTGAGATCAGGTCAGTCTCTCACCATTAAAAGTCAGGGGAATATGGAAATTGCTAGTTTGGTCCGGAAATGATATACAACTATCTCAAATTCTCAAGCACACGGAATCGTGATTTCATGCACTCCTTGCAAGGTATGATGCTTTAATTTTGCTTTGTTGATCTTGCGTGACGTCATTTATCACGTAACCAAGGGTATCAGTTTTTCGTCAATAACTCCCGATCAACTAAAGCTACCGAGTCGATAAAGCCACTAATGGACATGAAAAGACCTGCCGAATCGATTGATATGCAATATGACCTCCTTTGACCAGCTTCGTGACCTGACGGGCTGTGACCTGACCTTGACCCGAGGTTAACACCTTAACTCTCGCCCATATTGGTGTTTTTTTTTCCAGCCGCAAACGTATAAGGGGGGGGGGGGTCCGTTGGACCCTCCCTTGCCGTTTCGCCCCTGATCGAGCTAGAGCTTCGCGGAAAAAACGAGCGTGTTGGCCGTGACGAGAGGAAGTCGATGATAACCAATTTTAAGGTCCTAGGTCATCGGTTGACTTTCCAGGTCAGATCAATGACCCAAAAGTCGGGAAAATCGGGCCTGTTAGAAAGTCGTAAAGCGTGGCTGCTATGGGGTTTTTGGGGTGCTGATCACGAATATCATGTTAGTTTTGATCACAGATGATGTCTTCATGCATTTAGGCCAGGTCGGGTCAGGTCAGGTCAGGTCAACCAGTAAGGGTATTCGTAGTAGGTGGCAACCGCCTCTGACAGCTTCGCAACATGTTACGAGGGCACCAAAACTACTTCGTAAATGTTCATATGGCTGCTAAATTCGAATTCAGCTCCTAAAACTGGCCTAAAAACATGTAAAACTCGAAAAAGTGAACAGAGGTCATCGAAGGTCAATGACCTGACCTGACTTTCCGGTGACCTTGACACCCACCCTAGTCCCTAATGCATGGAAGCAACATCATATCCCATGTTTGAACGCTTAAAACCACGAAAAGACTGCAAACGCGCCGATAATGCGAGCCGACATACGCCGAATCGCGATTCCGGCCAAACATGGTCTCGAAAAGTAGGTCGCAGGTCAAAGGCCGTTAAGGTCAGGGTCATGACAATTTCAGGGTGGGTGTAAAATTGATTAGCGCGAGGGTAACGAAAGTTTCGTCGCGATCGGCCGCTTTTTACGCGAGTTATTCGCGAAAAACCGAGGGAGGGGGGTCCGTTCGACCCCCCCCCCCCTCTATACGGGCGAGGGTTAAGTTGATCTCACCCGAAGAAAAAGTATACCATTCGACACGCCTGAGCTAGACAAAAACGATGCTGCTAAAATCGCGGATCTGCGATCATTTTTAGCGAAGTTATTTACCAAAAACCGAACCTGTGCCTTGGGCCACTTGACCTGACCTCCGAAGTCATCGGCTGACCCTGGTCCTTAAATCGGAGACC